ATACTCTGCGTATATATGTTGGACTCAGTAGAGCGTCCAGCCCCTATATGATGTCCAACCCCTATATAGAGTTCATTGGTCCAAAATCCACTGTACAGAGTCCAAACTTGGAATCAACTGTGAGCTCAAAGTTTAGATGGACATCACTCCCTGTATAGAGTCCAGCCAATTGGCTTCACCCATTGGTCCATTGGTCCAAAATCAACTGTATGGAGTCCAAACTTTGAAATCAACTATAAGGAGTCTTTATGTGGACAACACTCCCTGTATAAAGTCCAGCCAATTAGGCATCCCCTATCCAGAGTTCGAAATTAGACACAGAATCTGCTGTAAGCAGTGAATATTAACCAGAAAACGGCCTCTCCCTTTAATCCTTTACATCATTCACTTCTCAAGATAAAAGTAAGTATTGAGGCGCCACTGCAGCCACTTCATTACATGAAAAACCCTACAAACACCATCCTGAAATCAAGTGGTCTCTTCGCAGACGCTGCAAATTACAATATCTCAATCATGTAGTGTTGCCAAATTATTGCGCACGCACACACACTACTTGTTGCTCACTGCCAAAACTGGTCACGTGAGTCCCCCCGGGAGAGGGGAGAGAGACTCAAAAGGAATCTTAGAAAAGATGACTCAATTGGTTATTGAACCGCCCAATGGCCGACACCCCCTGAAATCCCCAAAACTCTGGGTGGACTTGAAAATGATCCCACTTATGGGCTCACCACACCTCAGTAAGTGGGTGAGGACAAGGTGCAGAAAAAGGATTGACGGCATCAGGTATCCGTCCCGGGATCCAACTGCAGTTACCCCTGCCCCCAGTGAAGGTAATATTTGCTACTAGTGTGAGTGGCTAAATCAGAGTGGATCTGATAAAAGCTTCACTAGCACCATTGATTACACAAGAGTTAATCTAGCCAGAAGCAGTCCATGGTTAACAGGTATGTATACTTCCAATAGAAAGTATATGAACCCTGGAACAAACAAAGGTGGCAGGTACAACATTACACCTTCAAACAGCCGAGCCTGTTGGCAACAGACCCAACACAATCAGGCATAAGTGTACCTACCAGCCGAACTAGCTGGCACACACATGCACACACCCACACAACGCCAAGAAAATACCTAGAAAAAAACCAAGAATCGAAAGAGAATAATGGAGAGCCAAGGATTAATTATTTGTTTTCAAATTATTCGCACACACACACACACACACACACACACACACACACACACACACACACACACACACACACACACACACACACACACACACACACACACACACACACACACACACACACACACACACACACACACACACACACACACACACACACACACACACACACACACACACACACACACACACACACACACACACACACACACACACACACACACACACACACACACACACACACACACACACACACACACACACACACACACACACACACACACACACACACACACACACACACACACACACACACACACACACACACACACACACACACACACACACACACACACACACACACACACACACACACACACACACACACACACACACACACACACACACACACACACACACACACACACACACACACACACACACACACACACACACACACACACACACACACACACACACACACACACACACACACACACACACACACACACACACACACACACACACACACACACACACACACACACACACACACACACACACACACACACACACACACACACACACACACACACACACACACACACACACACACACACACACACACACACACACAAACTTATACAACGCCAAGAAAAGAGTAGAGACACAATACACACGCAACTCCAACAGCCATGCAAACGTCCACCCATTTACACGTAAAGTCAAGAGGGATAACAAATAATTATACGAAACGAATGCATACTTGGGCGGATGCACGCAGGTTTACACACATGTAGTAGTGTACGAGAGTAACATAGTGCAGTAGTCAGCATAATACTAGCACATGCTGAGAGGGCAATAGCAAGCTTCACCATTGCTCATGGCCATGCAAATGTTCAGCAGCACTCAGCTCCGCAAGCTTCTGAAGATCAGCACACCTGCAACAAATAGACAGGACAAGGATACTCTTATTACCATAATGATGCATGGGAGCACACAACTACCAAGTTCTCAACGAATGTGATGCTCAATGAAAATCCATCCACTCAATGACCTGTGAACAGGTGACGGTGGGGACAATAATATATTAGTAATACGAGGAATAACATCGTTTGTGCACACTCAAAACGCACAGACACACCATCATACATAATTATAGTGTACACAGTGTTTCACTTCACTGCAACTAAATTGAAATGAGATGATTTTTAAAAACAATCTGTACAGCGTTGCCGTCAGTCAGTCTTCCCCAAGATGGAAATGCAATGATATGTTGTCACGAGGCAGTTTCACTGACACAATGTCATGTTTGTGACATCAAAACGGTTACTTCATGGAATACGAGTACTTTGAAGTACATGTATTGGCTTGAGAAGCTTTTTCTTGTCATCGGCATACAAGAAATCCTCCTCCTACTACTACTACTAGTACACTGGCACTGCGGTTGTGGATCCAATTGCATTTGACATCATACTAGAGCCTAGTAGTAGAGGAAGAGTGTCGTGGAGTTCACATAATTATCACAGGGATAAAAATACATTTCTCATGAAATAAAATTATTGATGATAGCTAGACGATTGTATACGATTGATGCAAAGACAGTTCTTGCAGTCCTTGAGGACTATTACGAAGTGGTTGATTACTTTTAGGGCATTCATTCAAGCAACAACAAACAAACGCGATACGATCCTTGAAAATGGAAAAAAATTCAAGCATAACAACAGAACAGCAGACCATTCGAAACGAGTAAAAGCTTCCTTACCTCAGTCATCGTCCTGCCATGTAGTTGGACAGCCTTTTGACACGGTGGTACAGGCAGCTCTTGTCCAGTCAAACACGGTATCCTTGTGGCGTCCAACTAAAGAGAGTGTCAGTGTATCTGACTCGTCAGATTGGAACTGTGCTGAACGTTTCTCGTTCTCCACTTTCTGCTTTCATCCCTCGCTCTGATGAAACCGTTCAAACGCCTTACTGGCAACAATGGCCAGCCAAACAGGGGATCCTTGTGGCGTCGAACGAAAGAGAGTGTCAGTGTACCTGACTCGTCAGATTTGAACTGTGCTGAACTTTTCTCGTTCTGCAATTTCTGTTTTCACCCCGCACACTGATGAAACGTCTTCAGAGAACCACAAGACGCTTGCTTTCCGATTTGATTTTGAACGTTTCCTTATCCTCCTTGGTTACCTCGAGACAGATTACTGTCAGCAACTGCACAGCAGAACTGGCAGCCATGGCTGAAGTGAAGAAAGGAATGCGCTGCCACGAGGCAAGCAAAACTGAAAAGGTGTTTCTTCTCTTTCGGGCACAACACACAGGACGGCGTGACTGGATGAACTGGACTCCTGGACCGTGAATAGGCGACTTGTAGAAAAAGTGTACTCCTTATAGGGGATTGCGCGGCAGGATGAAGCTGATCAAAACTAAGTGGACTCCTGGACTCTGTATAGTGGATTTTGGACCAATGGACTCTATATAAGGTGCTGGACATCATAAAGTGCATGGACTCTATACTGAGTCCTACATATATACTGCTCTTGTGTGGCTTCCACGGTATTCATTGTTATTACCTGACGATGGCCAAGTGCCGAAACGTTGTATTATAATGGAATGGTTCAGATTTGCAGAGAATTGTGGAATGTGTAAGTTCACCCAATTGTGTAAATACTATGAAACTGCAGGCAGCCTCAAAACTTCTTCTCAAAAATACGTCAGTTGGAGAAATGAAAAAATACATAACATCTCTACGTTTTTTCGCCTAGGTCAAGGTGGTAGACGGTGTCGTATTACCCTCGAATGCAAAGAGAAAGCTTATATAACCCAATAAATTCTGCAATTACTTTTTCGGAACTCATATTCAAACCGATTGAAATGTTTTTGCATTACAATGATGTAACCAATCAATGGAAAAAAAACATTTCCAACAGTTCTAATAACATGCATGATGAACTAGGCATAAAAGCATACCGTAGGGCCCTGAGCTTCCAAGCTCTCTATTATTAATTCTTTTTTCAAACGGGTCCAAGGAACCCGCCTCCCCCCCCCCCCCCCCCCAGGGTCGCTGACCTGCTTGAACCGGCACTGGAGCTGACACTGCTCAAAGTCCATAACCAACTTAATTGAAGACCAAACCTTCTCAGATGCTAAGTACAGTAAATCCTGGTACTAAAGATCACCGTGACTAGCGACCAGCCTGGTACTAAAGATCATCGTGACTAGCGACCAGCCTGGTACTAAAGATCACCGTGACTAGCGACCAGCCTGGTACTAAAGATCACCGCGACTAGCGACCAGTATGGTACTAAAGACCACCGTGACTAGCGACCAGCCTGGTACTAAAGACCACTTCGCCAGGCAGGGAAGGTCTCACATTCATACATGGTTGGGTGGTGCAAACCTGTAGCTTAGGACCACCTGCCACTAAAGACCACTTTCTCTGGCCCCAAGGGGTGGTCGTTAGCCACAGGTTTCACTGTAGAAGGCATCAATTCCCAATTAATTTTTCATCGATAAGGATGTGGAACTCTCTATGCCAGTGCCTGTGTTGTCTTTACTAACTAAATGCATGTATGTGTTTGTGTTTCTCTGTGTGTGTGAGTGTGTGTGTGTGTGTGTGTGTGTGTGTGTGAGTGTGTGTGTGTGTGTGTATGTGTGTGTGTGTGTGTGTGTGTGTGCGCATGCGCGCGCTTGTGTGCATGTGTGCTCACGCACGTGCGCGCATATGCGTGTATGTGTGCATGTGTATGTATGTATGTGTATGTGTTTGTGTGTGTGTTGTGTGTACATGATTTGTATTCATTAATGATGCTACTTCCAGGATGGTTGGACACCACTCCACTATGCAGCATACGGAGGTCATGTGTCCGTACTAGAATATCTACTTAATGCTGGACACCCATTGGAAGCGAAAACTTCGGTAAGTCAGGATATCCCTGGTGCATGCTTGTTTGGGTAGGAGCAGAAAAGAAGGATTGCCGTGCTTTCGCGATTAGACCCCTCTCTTGAATAGTGCTCTATGTTGAAGAGTGCCCCAGTCTCTAAGAGCACATGAAAAAATATGCAGCCCTCTATTGAATTGTGCCCTCCCCCCCCCCCCCCTGCTTGTTACGAAGCACATGTGCACGTTTGGTGTTCCAGGCCATGTGATGAGAAATCATGGTCGTTCTGACGTAATGTCCTGACACTTCACGGACATACCATTTTTGCCGCAGAAGTCTGTGAAAGCCAACATTTTTTTATTCTCGACCCAACGATTAAAGACTCCGGGAAGCTTTTGAACGAACACATTTTCTCTGGAAACCGCACAGAAACCTTGTTGCTCTCAACAGTCCACTTGTCAAAACTGGTGGCACGCACAGCGCGGAACTTCATGCCATGAGGTGGGCCATCGTGGCCACCTTTTCTCTTCCCGATCTTTAAGGACTAGAACTGATCTCGTCGAATGCGAAATCGGCATTCTTGCACATACTTCTTTTCCAACGATAAGTTGAATAACTCCACTAATAACTTGTAGGTCGATTTTCACAATTTTGAGCTTTCTGGAAGGCTCCATTCATAAGAAATACACTTCCTGTAGACATGACGAGCATCAACGTAAAAGTACAGTGAGCGAAGCAAGTGTACACGCCAGGGTCATGTTAAGGAGGTTTGGGACAGTTTAGGCAAAATTTCATAATCATGATATTTTGATGTGAACAGATTGCTTGGAGTCTAAGGTACCTTAGGTTTCAAATTCTGAAATAAAAAAGGGTGGTCCCCATATCCGTTTTGTCAACTTCAGTCACTTTTCCACCCTTAGTTTTTACGGACATTGCTGGGTGGTTGCACATTTTCTACTATAAGTATTATCTTTATAATCTCTTGCAGCATTGCATTGAAACTTTCGGAAATACAAACCGACTCGGTTTGAATTGTGAAGAAAGTAGGAAAATGTCATTGGGACTAAGCACACCACCGAAAATTGCAAAATGCAAAGCTGCGCTTTTCCTTGAAAAAGGAGAAAAGAAAGTAATTTCTCACATGATTTCCAACGTAATATTTTTATGAACATGGGTTTATGGGATCCTTTCATGGAAAGGAACAGGTTTGCCAAATAAAACACAGGGTGTCCCCATATTCGTTGAGACAATAAACACTACTAATAAATGTACGAAAAATGTCATATTTTGATAGTGTATGTTCAGGCATGCAAAGTGGCTCAATTTGATTTGTTAAAAAGGTAAAAACAACCCAGATAGTTCTGTCTTTTTTGGTAATGCCTCCTAAGCGATTTAAAAGCAAGTATCAACGTAGTTGAGAAGAAGTAGCGACGACCCGGCCATTATGGAATCCAATGCACCACACCACCACATTGCGCTCTTGGCCGATCCAAACTCTGCACTCACATCACCATCACCACAGCGAGGACAATTCCGGTATATAGATTGAAACTGACAAAGACACTCCAGACAGCTGTTTCGCTCCTCCTGAGCACATCAGTGGAGGCATACGATGTTCAATGAATAAATAATAAGAATAGACTGATCTTTATAGGGCTAAATTGTCTGGAGGGTCATTGTCAATATCAATCTATAATATTATACCGGAATTGTCCTCGCTGTGGTGATGGTGTTGTGAGTACAGAGTTTGGATCGGCCAAAAGCACAATGTGGTGGTGTGGTGAATTGGATTCTATAAGCAGGCGCGTAACGCCGTATCGCAAAAATCGCAAACAAAGCAGCTAGAGTTTGCCGCACTATGTTCGCAAAACGCCCAAATAAAAGCAGGATAAAAAGTATCACAAAGTGCCCGCGTTAAACGTAACCTCGTTCATCAGTGTTTCGATGAGTGCACTGTACTTGTACAATCATGTACTGAATAGGTTCATCACACATGTTTTCTTCACGCTACACTGTATATCAGTCTTGAACAGGATTGTACATGCAGCCATTTTCGGCACCTTTGAAACCGTACAACAGCTGAGTGACCTGAGCGCCCGGGGGGGGGCGGGGGAGTGGGGGGGGGAGGGGGGGGGGGGGTTAGCTGAGTGTGAAGCAAGGAGCAGCAAGTACCGGTGTTTTAATGCTCCATGGTGTGAAGTGACTACACTGTCCTGTTTTTGTTCCAACTTGCTGCTCCCTGCTATTTGAGGAAAAGAAGCCATGCTTGTTTGCAAGTCCAACTGTCGCAGCCTCCAGAAAAACCTTTTTAAGAAGCAGCCGATAGTACATGTACATATAGTTCAAGATCAAAGGGAATGATGTACATGTACAACGTATACCATGGTATACAATGTAGTCTGCTGCATCAGACTCATTTCTGAGTGCAGTTTACCGCGAAACTTCAAAATAAAAGGAGCTGGCTGAGCAAAAATCCTTGGCTGCAAAAATTAAAATAGGATGAATTTTTTACCCTATGTCACGTCACATGACCTTCCAAAGCAGACTAAAATGGGCTAAGCTACGCCCCTGCATAAGTATCAACGTAATTGAAAAAAAAAGAAAATTGCCCCTATTGGGATTAGAACCCACAAACCTTGATTTGGGAAAGAAAAAAGAAAAAAAGGTCGCCAAAAGTGGTGTTCGAACCCACAAACCTTGATTTGGAAAAGAAAAAAAGAAAAAAAAAGGTTGCCGAAAGTGGGGTTCGAACTCACAACCCACGGCTGTTAGCTGCACTTGGATCGCGGCAACTTAGTTTTCTGCACGGGAACCATGAAAAATCAATGCATGCTCATGCATAACCAGTCAGCTGGCCTGCTCGCCCACGCATTTGACAAGTAACAATTCCATCAAATTTGAGATATCGCTTTCGTTCTAAGTCTCAAAACAGTTCTAAAGTCACCAAACCACGCTGGTAATCGATGGCTATTCAATGTTAACATCTTCAGGAAGACTTCAGCCGTTTCCCGAGAGTTTGGGCATCGTTGCCGTTATTTTTCACGGTGTTCTTCTTCCTCCTGTCTGGAGCTGCAATTGCATCCTGGACTTATTTGAAAGGTATTTCGTGCGGGCTGTGGGGGGGGGGGGGGGGGGGTTCCAACAGGCATAAACTGACATTGCTATAGGATAACTGGTAACTTTCACCCTTCAAGGAGGTAGAGCAATGAGAATTTTTTTGTGGCGGTCGTCCAATTTTTGTGGCGGTCGTGGCTGTATTTGTGCACTTCCAAGGCTTTCATTCTGCCTGATAAGACTCTCTACTGTATGGGAATCGTTGTTTAGGCACATGTAGCTGTCTTATTTGGTAGATCTGCTGTTGTCAATCACTTGGGACACTTTGTGTAACCTATTTGTCTTTCGTTCGTGCCATCTATCAGTTTTGTAGGGTGCCTTGACCTGTATTTGTGAACTTCTCGAGTAAAGACCCTAATTCTTGACTGGAGTCACGTCTTGAATAGAATTTGCTGGGCGAGCCCTTGTTCACGCAGTTGTCCTTATCGTAATAGTCAATATCTGCTTGCTGGACGGACTAGCGGCTAGAACAGGCATGACCAAATGGTCCAAGTGTGCACTAGTACACGATTATTGTTTCCATCATCGTGAAACTGCAGTCGTCTGCCTTTGGCACTGAGGACATGAGGAGAGTTGATTGTTACTTCTGCTCAGCAATGAAGCGATCATCAGCTCTCTTTGTTCTAATTATTGAGAGGACATACCGGCATCGCAATCAAGTAAAGATTAGCCAAACCTCGCCAATCTCCAAAGAGAGTCGAAGATATTTTCTCCAAATGCAAAGACGATCTTTGTGAGTTTGTGACTTGCATTTGCGTGCATACATGGGCAAGTCACGGACCACGGCGAGTGCACGGTTACCATGCCTTCTCCAACCGACGCCATCTTTCTAAGTTGCCGCTTCTTGACAGCCGTGAACCTTCGGTCCTGTTTTTTGTTTTTGTTTTTTTGTTTGTTTGTTTTTTACATCGGAAGCTTAATAGTGCAGCTGCACAAGTATGAAGAGGCCAATGGGACCAAAAAAACAAAAAACCTCTTGGCCAAAATGGGGATAACTGTCGCGAACCTCCTCAATTGCGATGGAAATACTCATCGCAATACAATTCCCTCAAAGTTTATCGTAGAGCGCTGGGATTTTTGCAAAGACTTCTGGATGCCCGTAGCCTGATTGTGTCGTAGCACCTGGCTGGCTAGGGACGCGCAAAAATGGGCAAATACCCACCTTAACCCTTTAAGAGCCACAGGCAAATTTCACAATTCTGCATTTTTTCGTGTTCCTTGGATCATAGCTTAAGTTCTATTCACTCAATCCTCGGAATCTAGGGCTTCCTGGAAAGGTCTCCGCGAGAGGAAGAGAATGAGGTCAATCATGATAGCCAGCACACCACATATCCAGCGCTAGGTCGCAGTTACAGTACGAAAAATGCCCCAAATGCGTCCAATTGCGTCAAGCTCCATATATTTTTATTTTACTCGATCGTGGAGTTCCCATTTTTTCGCTGTGTGCTCTTGACAATATCAATAGTGAAACCCGTGCAAATTCGAGTAAATCAGCATGACGAAAAGTCTCAAAATTCTCAATAATAAAGTCGCACTGCGCGCTTTTGAAATTGCCGCGATCACGGCTCAACTTACGAGTGATTTATGTCAAGAACCGTTGCTCGCAGCGCTTCGCGGATTGTTTCTCCCGACAGGTGAGAGTTTTCTCTTCGCCCTGGATATTTCGATCACTGGATTTGAGGGAGATTGGACTGAGTTACGATATTTTGATGTTTTGCATTCAAGTATGGGGCGGCTCTTAAAGGGCTAAGTGCATTTTACAAGCTCATAATAAAGCTTGAGATATAGCCCCACTGTCGACTTCTGCATGCTGTGGTGTTTTGTCACGTACTGAGTATGATGCTAGGACGCATCCCAATTCCTTGCGAGATCACTTTGGGTGGTGGCTGCATTTTAAGCTTCTAAAGCTGACATCTTTCCGCCGAGCCATGATGGTGATGGCAAACGAGAGCACGTTCTTCGCTTGCGAAGTCGTGAAGTGATACCTCCATTTTCAGAGGTGACCGTTAACGCTGTGCTAGACAAGTCGGAAGGGTTACCGACCTGTGCCCTGAAGATACCCGATGGGTGATTTCAAGGGATGAACAAGGTAATGATGGCTGATGCGCTAGTGAGCCCTACGGTGGATTCAGGGCCTGCTCTAGACATTCAACACAGCCCGGTCAGAGTGTACCTAGCGCATGCAGGCCAGCCGGGTCAAGCCGGGTCGGATCATCCGGCAGAAAACAACCAAAAAGCCTGCTCAAAACGCAGCAAAACAGAAAGGCGTATTTATCACCGGAAATCGGACATTTTAGAGAACAAGGCAAACTATCAAAGTCCGCAAACGTAGAAGGTAAACGACATTACGTGAAGAATGCAAAGCAGTTCCATTGGATTCTGATTTAACAATTTGAAAAAAGGAATTCTGTTTTCTAATTAGTGCTAGTAGCAGGACAAACGACCAAATCCACCACCGCTCGTCTTCCTTTGGAAATGCGTCTTGCACACAAAGCGCATGACATGGAGAGACTGGCATGGTCTTAGTCCAGCCAGGGTCGACCTTTCTTCCAAGAGTCTTGGAAAGCATGAGTTCTTTTTCTCTTCGCTGCGGGTCCATCGTCCAAATCACCAGTCGGCTGAACACTTGCAACTGTGTCAAAAGCTATAGCCAAAGTTACGCTTTTGACTGCCTGCCCCATCGACTTTGAATGTCCTGACTTCCTGCTCGCCGCTGGCCAGATCGCGCTCGAACTAGTTGACCCCAGTTGACCCTAGCCGAGTTTCTGTCGCTTGTAGACTGTAGTGTGTATGGTTGCGCTAGATTTGCAACAGATGGGGTCCGCGAGTCGTAAAATACCGGTATTTTAGGAATCCATTGTCAGTTTGAGACAATTTTCAGCCGGGTGAGACTGGACCCGGTGGTATCTGTTCAGCCAGGTCGTGCAGTTCTCCAGCCGGCGCGTGACCCGGATGACCCGGGTCTCCGGCAGGCCCTGGGATTGTGTTCCCGTATGGGTTTTGAATTACTCTGATGAGGCAGTGGCTAGACTAGGCGATGCAGATTGGTCGGTTAGAACCAATATCTGACGTCATGAACATCGAGACCTAGGATACTGGGCCGATGGCCAGCGAGAAACCTCGGTTCAAATAGGTAAGACAGAGGATCCCCTCGCGGTCTTGAAGCAGTTGCGTATTGGCGCAGAGGGTCCTGTAGCAGGCGCGCGTGGCAGGTTGGACGAGCTGGACTCGATCCTGGAGCCTGGTGGGTTGGACGAGCTGGACTCGATCCTGGAGCCCTGTGGGTTGGATGAGCTGGACTCGATCCTGGAGCCCTGTAGGTTGGACGAGCTGGACTCGATCCTGGAGCCTAGGTGTGTGGACGAGCTGGACTCGATCCTGTTGTACACACGGGAACGCGGGGAGCTAGAGACGGTCTTGGGACCAGTCTCGGACAAGACATCTCCTTGGAGGAGATGAGTTGTGTACAGACTTTTGTACTTCGGTACCGTGATGCGTTCGCATTAAACCCATCCGAGCTTGGTCGCACTTCGGTGCTTCAACATAAGATTGAGACACGTGATCGTGGCCCTGTTGCACAGGCTGCAAAGCGTATGCCGTGGAATTCTCGTGAAACTGCTCGCGAGCTTGTTGACAATATGAAACGGCAGAGGCTGGTGGAAGATTCTACTGGTCCTTGGTGGTCGCCTATTGTACTTGTGGAAAGACAGCCAGTTTGACACAAATTAGTGTTGACTACAGGAAGCTTAGTGCTGTGACAGAGCGGAACCTGTATCCCCTCCTGCAAATTGAAGAGACGCTTAGCGCTCTGTACGATGCAAACATGTTGCACCCTAGACCTGTGTTCAGGTTGTTACTATGCCTTTGGCAGTTGCAGACAAGGAGAAGACTGTCTTCTCTAAGCCCGGTGGCAATTATCAGTTCTTGTAATGCCATCCAGAATGTGCAATGAGCTCAGCTCATTTCAACGGCTCATGAATTTACTGCTCAGGGACCATTGCGGCGTATCTAGTTTATCTAGAATTTTCTAGTGTATCTAGAATGAAATCACTGTTTCAGCGTTCATTGATGAACATCTGGAATGTTGCGATGCTGTGTTCAGCGAGTTGGTTGCAAAACCGTACTGTACTACCACAGAACTGTGCTACAGTGTGTGTGGATTGCATCTGTCCTTGTTGGCAGCAATGAACCTACCGTGGAAGTATTGGCGAGGTCGCCAAGGTCTTTTGTAATCGATGGAGTGTGGGTGCAACCGATTCGTTGGATACCACCAAGTCTATGAAATGGCTCTTGGAGCTCTGCGGCAGTTTGTACTGAACCCGATACCTACGTGGTAGAGGGGTGTGTCTACCACACGTTATGGCCTATGGTCTACCTCCATCTCGGATGGCACGAAATGGCGAACCGTCATACGTATACGCTCTGAGTGAGTGATTGGCAAACGTGCATTCAGTTGCACGTGACAAGCTGTGTGCTGTTCATCAGCACCAGGCTCATATCACGATAGTGGCACCAGGCTCATATCACGATAGTGGAGCAGTACCAGTTTCAGCTGAAGTTGGATTTTTTTTATGGAAATTTCCCTCCAGTTGAGCCACATTTCGTACTCTATGCCTGTACCTGTTGTGGTACTGAACAAGTTGGCTTGGCCAACGAGAGCTAGGCGGTTACCGTCACGACTCGCTGACTTTAATGATGGTTGAGATCACGGGACGTGATTCTTGAGAGGCCGGGGAATTGTCATGACCCGGATCAGACTCGTCGTGAAAGCGACCACACATTGAGTTCAGTAGCCAAAAGCTGGGCTCCGGAATATTCTAGAGTTCTGTAACGACCATAATTAGTCCTTCGTTAGTTGAGCAATCATGGCTTACAGCTCGTGGCCTAGAGTCGTAAAGTGTTGTCGTACGTCGGCAACACCTTCAACACAAGTCGTCAGCATTGTACTCACTACATTGTTGATGTTGCTGCATGACAGCACTGACTCACGGCACCCTTTTCGTTTGTGCTTTGCCCAGTCCGCTCTGGCTGGTGAGTGGCCTCCTCAGGTGACAGCTTCCGGGCATACCCCTGTTCCAAATAGCTGTCGATCTTGCTCTGGTAGCCTACAAGTGCAAGGCAGTCACACACCATGAATCTCACCACCCACCATTTCATGGCAAGGCAGTCCACTGCCAAGGACTTGCCTCAGTTCTCTGGACATGCTGGCGAGTGGCCAGCATTCATCTTCGCCCTGGAGCACACGACCAGAGAGTGCGGATTCTCGAAAGGGGAGAACCTTGGACGACTGCAAAAGGCGCTGCGCGGAAAGGCAAAGGAAGCTGTACAGGGGATGATGACTCTCCCCGACAATGTAGGGGAGGTCATCTCCATCTTGAGGATGAGGTTCGGCCGCCCGGACCAGATTGTCCAGAATCTCATTCTGAAGACGAGATCACAGAGAGGCATGAAGTCGGAGGAGGCCATCGAGGTACTGATTGAAATCAGCGCCCTGTGCCGCAACCTTGTGGCCACTATGCGAAGCACAAAGTGCACCGGCCATCTCTACAACCCTCAATTGGTCAAGGAGCTAGTTGGCAAGCTGTCTGGGGGGCTTCGGATCTAGTGGGGAGAGTACGTGCTTAAAACCAGCACAGACCCGCACCTGGACACCTTCTCTGCCTGGCTTCAACAGAGGGCAAAGGCTGCATGCCTAGTCGCTCAGCCGAGCCCATGTGACGTCACTCATGCCACTCCACGCACAGGCCAAACGTTCAAAGTCGTGGAGGCCACCGCCGGTAAGCCACATTGCCTATTCTGCAGCAAAGCTGGGCACACCACAAGTAGCTGCCGTCAGCTAGCCGCGGAGCCACTTAACGCCCGTCGGCAGTTCGTTAGTGACAGACGGCTGTGCTTCCGCTGCCTTGGCGAAGGCCACCTGGCGAGGGTATGCGAGGAGAAGGCCTGCTCGTGTGGCAAACCCCACCATCCTCTACTACAACGTGATGGCCGCGGAAGTGTAGCACCGCTAGGACGCATGTCAGAGACGACATACACCTCGGCAACCCACGTGTCTGAACACAGTGGAAGGGTGCTGCTGAGGGTAATTCCGGTCACGGTACGAAACGGAGACACAGCGGCTGATACGTACGCACTCCTGGACGAAGGCTCAACAGTGTCCTTGATTGAAAGCGAACTGGCGGAGGAACTTGGACTTGCAGGACCAACGCGGCCCCTGAGGCTGTCATGGACGGATGGCAAGCAGCACCAGGAGTCCAGCTCCAAGGTAGTAACATTCAGCGTAGCTGGCAGGCAGAGACAGGACAGCTTCACCTTAACAAACGTCCACACTCATGCCAAGTTCAACCTGCCAACACAATCAATCAACCCTCAACGGCTGAAAAACTGCCCCCACCTGGAGGGACTTGAACTACCAACGCTGTCTTGTGCCAAGCCCAGACTCCTAATCGGACAGGATAATTACAGCCTGATCGCACCACGGGTGATCGCGGAGGGCCCTCCAAACGCACCCGAAGCTACACAGACCAAGCTAGGGTGGGTTGTTCATGGCAAAACGATCGCCGACCGCTGCAGAATCGATGAAGGCGTGGTCCTCTCCACCTGGGGTCTCGACAGCGACCTCCATGACCTGGTCCAGCAGTCGTTCGCCCTAGACTCCCTCGGGGTCAAGCCCGCGAAAATCTGCAGCAAGGCTGACGACCGCGCACTCCAGCTGCAAGACACTCTCACCACGCGTACCGGACGCCGGTGGCAAACGGGGATTCTCTGGCGGGAGGACAACATCACCCTTCCACGGAGCAAGGCAACGGCTGCCCAGCGTCTCGAGCAGCTGGAGAGGCGCCTGCGGAAGGATGACACGCTTGCACAAGGCTACCAGAGCAAGATCGACAGCTATTTGGAACAGGGGTTTGCCCGGAAGCTGTCACCTGAGGAGGCCACTCACCAGCCAGAGCGGACATGGTACCTGCCACACTTTCCTGTGTACAACAAAGAGAAAGGCAAGGTGCGACTGGTGTTTGACGCCGCGGCAAAGTCGCATGGAAAGTCTCTAAACGACTTCTTCCTCACCGGCCCGGACCTCCTGACGCCGATCACACAAGTTCTGTACAACTTCCGACTGTACGAGGTTGCCTTTGGTGCAGACATCAAGGAGATGTTCCACCAGGTGAAGATGCGTCCCGAAGACCGTCATGCACAACGCTTCCTCTGGCACGACATGGATGCAAGCAGACCAGCTGATGTGTACCAGATGGACGTCATGACGTTCGGTGCAGTCTGCTCACCAACCGCCGCCCAGTTTGCGAAGAACATCAATGCACACGACTTGGCTTCCGGAGATGCGCGAACCGTGACGGCCATAGAGGAGTGCCACTATGTCGACGACTATTTCGACAGCACCCCAACAACCGAGGAAGCTGTAGCACTGACTCGCAACGTGATGGACGTCCACGAGGGGGGAGGGTTTGTGATCCGTAACTGGGTGAGCAACTCTCCGACGGTCCTCGAGAGCCTTCCATCAGATCTGAGGTCACCAAGAATCGTGAACGTCCACAGCCACGACCTCCCCATCGAGAAGACCCTGGGCCTCCGATGGGACCCTGCGAAGGACACTCTTAGCTTCTCCTGCGGCACGAAGCCAGATCCAAAGGCACCAGTCACGAAACGAAGCGTCCTGCGACACACAATGTCGGTATTCGACCCACTCGGCCTGGTGTCCTGCCACTCCATCATCGCACGCATGCTTCTCCAAGACGTGTGGAGAGCTGGCATAGGCTGGGACGATGAACTCCCTGCATCTCTGGCAATGAGATGGACAGATTGGGCTGCAGAGCTAGACCAGGTGGCCACCGTAGAAGTTCCACGGTGCTACACACCGTTGATTGCAGTCGCTACAGACATCCAGCTGCACGTGTTCGCTGACGCAAGCGAGAAAGCATACGGCGCCGCTGCGTACTGGAGAGTAGAGAACCACGGTACTCAGCTGGCAGTGTCCCCAGTTGCAGCGAAGGCACGCGTTGCTCCACTGAAACCGGCCTCGATACCACGTCTGGAACTCCAGGCTGCGGTCCTCGCCTCGCGCCTATCCAGTACCGTACGGGAGCAGCTGCGTATTTCAATTCCACGGGTCATATTCTGGACAGACTCCAGAACGGTGCTGTTGTGGATACGCTCGGACGCCCGGCAATTCAAACCATTTGTGGCCCACCGGATCGCGGAAATAACAGACACAACAGAAGTAGATCAGTGGCACTGGGTACCAACAAGACTGAACCCAGCCGACGACCTCTCCAGAGGCATCTCTGCCCAGCGCTTGCAGCCGGACGATCGCTGGTTTGGCGGCCCGGACTATTTGAGGCAAGGCGAAGCAGACTGGCCCGCCGAGGAGACTCGTACGCCGGACCCGGATGATCTCGAGCTGAAGCGTGCGTTCAGTGGCGTCCACGCAGCAGCCGGAGACAGCTCAGAGCCACCCAGCCTGAAGGCAGCACTACCAGAGATCGAGCGCTTCTCAAGCTGGTGTCGCCTGGTAAGAGCAACCGCCTGGGTGCTACGCATCACTCGCCACCTGAGACACGGAGGAAGAGACACTGCCAAGCCGTCGCTGACAGTCCCCGAGCTACGAGCCGCGGAGAGTCTTTGGTGGAAAGCTGCACAAGCGGAAGGCTTCCCAGAAGAACTCGCTGCGCTCCGCATTGGCAAGCCAGTCAACAAGGACAGCCGCCTGGTCCAGATGACACCCTTCATCGACGACAATGGCATCATGCGCTCTGACAGCCGCGTGCGGAACGCAAAGGTTGAAAACAAGAACCTGCGCCAACCTGTCTTGCTCCCGCCGAAGCACGCCTTCACTAGGCTGCTCATACAGCAACACCACGTCTGGTCGTTACATCAAGGACAGGATCGCGTAGTGAACGAGCTGCGTCAGAAGTACTGGGTACCCGGTATTCGCACAGCGGTAAGAAGCACCTGGAGCGAGTGCCAGCATTGCAAGAATCTCCGTGCCAAGCCGCAGCCACCAATCATGTCGGCCCTGCCAGAGTGCCGCGCTGACGCCTTTCAGCGACCCTTCACACAGACAGGACTGGACTACTTCGGCCCGGCGATTCATCAGCAGGCGAGGCTGTCCACTGGTGATCCACTCAGACAACGGAACCAACTTCAAAGGCGCCGCCAAAGAGCTCCGCCAGGCCATTCGTGAGCTGAATGAAGCTCGCATCCAGGACCAGCTTTCTCATGACGGCATTACATGGTCGTTCAACCCGCCGGCGGCACCCCACATAGGCGGAGCCTGGGAGCGGCTCGTTGGATCCGTCAAGACCGCACTTCACGCCATCCTCAAAGAGCGCCATCCCAAGAAGGAGACCCTCCTGGCCGCACTGGCAGAAGCAGAGGCACTCGTGAACAGTCGACCTCTCACACATGTCAGTCTGGATGCCGCCGACGACGAGGCCCTGACTCCAAACCACTTCCTGATCAGTTCCTCGTGTGCCATTCTTCAAGGAATCGCGCAGGCAGGAGATGTCTCGCTGCGGCGCCAATGGCGCGTTGCGCAAGCCCTTGCAGATATGTTCTGGCGCCGTTGGGTTCGCGAGTACCTTCCAACTCTCGCTCGCCGCACAAAGTGGAACCGCCAAACGAAGCAGCTTGTCGTAAACGACATTGTCATTATCGCGGACGACAATGCACCACGGGGTTCCTGGCCCAAAGGTGTCGTCTCAGCTGTCCATCCAGGCCGCGATGGTGTTGTCCGTGTTGTCGACGTCAAGACCGCATCAGGTAGCGTTTTTCGCCGACCCGCCGCGAAAATTTGTGTACTGGACGTGCGGTCGTAGAGCTGTTATGCCTCCCGCACTTCTGAGCTGCAGCTAGCTGCGCTGTTTTTTCTCTTTTTCTTGTTTTCCTTTTTTCTTGTTTTGTGCGTCCATGGACCATCCACCTCTATTTTTACTCGAATAACACGATGGTTGCTAGGTTTAATACAGTCTTCTTCGCTCTTCTTCTGTTCTTTTTTGCATGTTTATGTTAACTCTCCCACGTTTCGTAACCAGGGGGGAGAATGTTGCTGCATGACAGCACTGACTCACGGCACCCTTTTCGTTTGTGCTTTGCCCGATTGGGCACCCACTGTAAAGAGCACGATACAACACTTTTCCATACATGTCCGACTCACTTTCCACACTATTTTTCCTATAATCACACAACTCCCGAGAACAGGGACAGATCAATAAAGAACACCTTCTAACCAACAAGAGAATTAGGAGCTTGTGTCTGTGACGAGGGTTGTGCCACGGGGCACTAGGATCTCACGAAAACAGTTGAGCTTGAGGGGACCACGCTTAATCCTGCAAGGGAGCTGATACATTTGTTAGTTGAGCAAGAGTGGCGCCTTTTCTCATGTCGTAAGACGCAAAGGGTAGAGAGTACTTCACGTACTCTAGACCGCAGGCCCGTTGGAGGGAGCACGGCATTGCTGTCTGCTGCTATGTTTGGGGGAAGAGCCCATATTGGGTGAAGCCACGAGAACGACATAGCTACGCTTTCTGCCTGTTGCAATGCATCCCAGCCACCGGATCGCGGGCCAAGATCATGCCAGCATTTGGAAAACACTGTATTCACATTTGTGTGAGCGGGCTCCCGTACTGATCTTTGTACTAACGTTATATCCTAGTTTGGCTGATTGCATCACTGTTTGAAATATCGAAAAGTATTCTTTCTTGACCAAAGAGTGGTATATTTGATAACATTTAATAACGATAGAATTTTTTTTTTTTGGAAATTTTTGGAAAAGTATCGTAAAAATTTCTATCGTTATTAAATGTTATCAAATATACCACTCTTTGGTCTAGAAAGAATACTTTTCGATATTACAACGAGAGTGAATAATCAACGGCTTGTCCACCAACTCTTTGACTGTTTGAAATATTGAATTAATCCTTACTCATTCTTTTCGCTGTTGCCTACTTTTGATCACATAATGTAGCATATACAAGGAGCTGTTTTTCATCCTCGACTCTTGGGGAGCTGACTACTCCTCCGACTTTCTCCTGCTTTGGGTCTTTGACTGTTCACGCTTGATTCTTTCGATTCAGCATTGCAATGGTTCAATAAACACTGTTCAAGTGGAATTAGAAACCTGTTGTTCTGTGTGAGCTAGCTAACTTGGATGGCGACTATATTGGTCTTCTACCTGGTTAGCCACTAGACTGATCTAAGGCAAGTCACAAACCCTCCAACGCACGGCCATGACACTAGCGCAGACGCCGTAGCTGGTCCGAACCTGGAAGGCTTGGCGGACGGCGGTGACTGGGAGCCCAGTGTTGTGTTGGCGATGCTGTTATTATTATTATTATTATACGCACGTCCGCGTTTACGTCAACAGTAAGTCCACGTATTCGCATGTGCCAGAAGACAGGCAGAGTGGGCAGGGAGGAAAACAAAAATAAACAAGAGTAAAAATTAAATGTAAGACAGCAGGCGACAGGCACATAACTCATGTTCGATGATAGGTGCTCAATGCACGGGATCTATTCGAAAGATCAAAAAAATAAAACAAGAATAACAGACAACGACGATAGGTTTGTAGCTCATGGTCGATGGTAAGTGCTAAATGCACGGGGTCTGTACAATGCCTCTGTCCCATCCATTAGCTACTGCGTACATCCTGGCACAGCTCGCGCCACGCAGGCCTGTCAGCGGCGATGGCCCGCAGGTGCTCCAGGTCAGCCAAGTTCCTCAGACTCCTCAGTCCTGCTGATTCTAGGTCCGCGGATAGTGTGGACACGATGGTTGTCCGTGGCCGCCCTCGCCATACCTTGTCCCCACAGGTGAAGTAACTCCGCATAGCGAGGGCGGCAGGCGTGTTTAGAGGGAGTCTAAGAATATGCCCAAACAGGCCCCATCTGGATCGCCGCATGAGGGCACTGATGGGCTCTGCGTGGCATCTGCCGTACAGGGCTTTGTTTGGAATCACCTGCGGCCAGCGGATACCCAGGAGACTCCGAAGTTGTCTTCGATGGAATGTGTCCAGACGCTCCCATGCTGAAGCCGTCAGTCCCCAGGTGCCTCCATTGTACGTTAGCACAGGGATGATAAACGCGTTGTAAAGCCTTAGCCGTAGACTTTCGCTGATGATCGATCGACGACACCATACCGTGAATAGCGCTCTGAAGGCTGCCGTTGCTAATTGTTTCCTTCGTGCAACATCTTCCTCGTCGCCGAGGAGTGATCCGAGTTTTTTTGTTTTCCGCCATACTTCAGCCAGGCGGTCTCCTTCCCGGCGCAATGTTGTTTTTTCTGTTTTATCTTCGTTGACCTTGAGGTGCCAGTCTCCAAGGATAGTAATGATATACGGTTCGATGCTCTCCAGCCAGGGTCTTGATTGGCTGATGAAATCAGTGTCATCGGCATAAATCACTTCTGGTGGTAGAGCCATGTCGCGCATTGGCCTGGGCAGAATCGATACTCTGATCTCCCTCAAGGCTGATTCCAGGTAGATCACAAATACTACAGGAGAGAGAGAGTCACCTTGGGGGGGTTCCGATGGTGGACTTGAAATCAGGTGAAACTTCCTTTCCAAGACGGACAGATATGGTTGTGTTTGACAGTAATATCCGTACCAGTCGGATGTCATCCTCCGTGACGATTGCTCTCATGGTACTCAGCAGCTTCTCCCTTGAAACGGTGTCGAAAGCCTTCGACATATCTATTCCGTGAATCTCTATTACGCTCTGGTACTTCTGGGCAATTGCAGCCATCCACCGGTGTGCCCAGACGGCATCCGCCGTCGACCTTCCGGGTCTGAATCCACTGTGTGTAGGGCTAAGGTACTCATTCACTGCCGGTTGGATACGTCTGAGGGTCAATAACGATACAGCCTTCCTGACGGAATCCAGCAGAGTGATTGGGCGCAAATTACTGGTCGGTCCCCTCTTCTTGTTGGGCTTCTGCAGTGGGATTAGGGTGCCTGCTCCTAGATCTATAGGGCTATGGAGTTCGAACATGCGGTTGAGGCAGAGAGCGATCCTGGCTGCTAGTTCGGCGCCACCATACTTCACCAACTCCGCATTCACCCCATCCGGGCCTGGTGCTCTGCCATTGTTGAGGCGCCCGATGCACGTTTCTAGTTCTGCTGCTGTTATTGGACGCTGCAGAGGCCTCGGCTTTCCCTCAAACGGGTCGATGGGCTTCTCACTGTTGCGATTGAATTGCGTGCTGAAGTGCGTTCTAATGATATTCAGGGATTCTTCGGCATTTCCAACTATTCTTCCGTGGGAGTCCTCGACCACCACTTTTTGTGCTTGCTTTCTTGTCCTAACTGTCACAGCTTTAAACATTCTGGCACCATCTTTCAATCTCTCCACTTCCTCTGCCATCGAGTTCAATCTCCTCTCGTTGCTCTCTTTGCATCGCCGCCTGATGTCATGTTGAATGATGTTGCGTTGAATTTTCAAGTCCGCCCGTTTACTAATGTTAGTTGTGCTTGCCCAGCTCAGTCTAAGCTCCTTCTGCTTCTTCGACAGCCTTATTATCTCGGGATCCGTCGATTGTCTTCTTTGCGGCTTTTTCTCGTGCCCCACAACGCTGCTCGCAACCGTACTGATAGTGTTGATAATTTTTTCATAAGTTTTTTGACAGGATGTTTCCTTATCTAGTGACCGCAAAGACTCCGTGACTGCCTCCTGGTACTGACATTGAACCTCCTTGCTCTCTGCAAGTTTCTTGACGTTGATCTTGTCCGCCGAGACGGAGGGTGCTGAGGTTGGTCCCGTCACTGTTCGTTGTCTGCCTTGGAGCACTTCATATAGTCTGGAGAGGTCCAACTCAGCAACAACTAGTCGGTGATCAGTGGTAAGCTCAACTCCAGCATAACTTCTGCTATTCCTCAAGAGCCTTTTTTGAGACGAACGACACAGTACATAATCTATCTGGTTGTAGACCGGTACAACCTTCTGTGTTTGGCTATCCTTCCGCCACCCGGTCCAGGTAGTAATGTGGCGTGCTGGATGCTGAAATGATGTGTTGGCCAAGAATAGGTTGTTACATTCACAAAAATCCAGGAGCAGCTGGCCAGCTATATTCCGCTTTCCCCTGCCGTGACTGCCGATCGTAGTTTCTCTTGCTTTGCGGGTGCCAGCCTTTGCATTGAAGTCACCCGTGATGTACAGCAAAGTGCTCGACTTGACTGTATCATATGCTTGCGAGAGTGCGTCGTAGAATTTATCCAATTCATCGACCGACTGCAAGCATCGCGAGCTCGCCGGTGCATACACGTTAATTATTGATAGTTCACCTTTTCCTCCGACCTTCGCGCTGTCCGTGTCCTTGGCGTTACCTCCACCGCTATCGTTCTCAAATAATTTGAGTGTCAGGACCGCGACTCGGTCGGAAACCTGCCAATATCGCTGGATATTGCTGGAAAGTCCTGATGACACCACGAATCCTAGGCCGTAGTGGCGACATTCTGGCGGAAAGCAAATCAGACGATATCCATCCCTCACGATATCCAGGCCCCGAGACAATTTCGTTTCTTGGATGCAACAAATATTTATTTTATAAGATTTCAAACCGCGTTTGAGCGACTCTTGTCTTGCCGTGGACGAAATGCCCCTCACGTTCAACGTTGCTAGAGTAAATGGCGCTGAAGAGCGCCTGAATCCTGCCAGCATTGTCTGTCTTCCGATAAATACGAGTCTCTCTGAGGAGAGAGAGAGAAAGCGTAACCTTCCTCAACCAAATAATGCTGTGCAGCATCTAATCCGCCTCCGTGCAGAAGTCTGCTTCGCGCAGCACCCACTGCAGTAGGTGGGGTACAGACTTTTCAGCACCTGTGTCACATTGCCATCTGTTGTAGTTGGTCAGCAACTCCGGGCCCAACTTCTGCTGCAATTGGGCGCAGAATGTCCTTGCAGCCAATTCGGCATGTCGCCCAACATCCTGCAGGTTTATGATCGCGACTTGCAGCAAGTCAGCAATTCGCTCGAACTCTGCGGCAGTGCCCCAATCCCGGATGGGCGTAAACTGCGAGAGTGCGGTCATGTGGACGGCCGTCTTTCGACGGAGGCCACCATACTTGTGCTCCAGGCGATTTATTGCAAAGAACGCAAAGAACGCTCCTTCGCACAAAGACAGCTCAGCAAAACTCGTCTCCAAAAAATTAGACGCCGCCTCCACGACTGTCCATAAAATTTTGACAGGCCACACACTGCGCACGCGGCTTAGTCACGAGGTAGTCACGTGACACTCACTCGCAGCACTTCACCACCAGCATGCGTGTGCATGAGCTAACTGGGCTTTGCTGCCCAAAGCCCACCTTTTTCTCGTTAGTTGCATGCAAGAGAGACGATGCGACAGAAAGCAAAGCCCTTTGTAGTTTTCTCTCTCACACTGACAATGGTCTGCTGTTGGAGTTGAAATGCTAAGACACAATCCTGGTTTCGCTCTTATGTGTACAAGTAGTGTGAAGAGGTCAACGAACATGTAGAGCTCACTTTGGTACAGTAGGCAAGGCCGTGAGCGCTGTGCGATAGGCCGTAAATCTCACGAGATATTTCGAGTGCTATTGTTTGTTGCGAGCGCTTCGTCTTCGATGAGTCCTGCCTCTTTCCTGGCAGGTGCCCTCCTATAGGACCAACCACAAAGTGACGGTACTCATCTGCAGCCGATCAATGTTTTATTGCACAAGAAGATAGCGTTTTCGCCAAGCCTGTGCCACGCCAAAGACCATCACCGTGTCACACCGTCGGAACGAGTTCATGATGAGAAACATCATTCGTGCGAGCGTGATGAAGAACTATTCGAAAGACAACATAGTCTTTACCTCTGGGACGACAACTATGCGCACACCCTGCAAGTGGAGAATGTCACCAGCGACATCAACGAAGACGACGGCAGTATTTCGGAAACCTGGAATCAACGAAAGTCGTCAAGCTCCTCCGCGACCCGGTACATGTACAGTATAGGTGACATGTCGACACGAGCGTGCGGAAACACAGCATACACTGTAGTAATGTTGCGAGAGTTTGCGGAATGTGTCCAAGTCGGGAAATCCATCAGCTCCAAAAGCTACCTGCAGGTGGGCGATGAGACTCCAGCTTCAGACTATAACAGTCAGAACTTGTAAATACCGGTAGTTGAACTTTGTGAAGCAACGATCGAGAAGTTAGTTGAAATCGTAGCTGTTGCAGTAGGTCGACGCTATGTAGCTTGTATTATTTTTACGGAGAGTCGATCGCCACGCGAATGTTTCTCTCCTCAGCGAGAGCTAGCTGGCCTCCAAACTCCGTCAGGTACTGCCTAAGGTACCGAAAGTCCTTTGACTAGCTGCTGGCAGAACTCCATCAAATCCTTTAGCTTCAGCTCGGCGAGCAAAAGTCTCTCTCTCCTCTGCCATGAGCTGACACACACAAACTGAATACAAAACTATGCACTTCACACGAGCTGGCTTGCACACGTGCTCCCTTTAACGAACCCAGACAATCTTTTCGGGATTGGTCTATTAGGTAGAAATGGTTCAAGTAATGTGTAATGTTTGGTGTGGCCAAACTTGGCTGGTAGAGTTTTTATTTTATTTATTTATTTATTTTTCACTGAATACCACAGAACCATCAGATGCTGCAAAGCGGGGTGGTGGCATATTGGATGGAAGTCGGGGCGGGGCAAAAGTAACTCCTGCGACCAAAGGTCTCGGATTCATCATTACTCATGTGTGTCGATACGTAGGAGAAAAGAACATGTGCATCCAAGAGGGGAGCACATTTGCAAACGATAATGGGGAGAATTTGAGATTGAGATAATTGTGACATAACGCAATAGTAAAAAAGCAGTGCACCGTGGGTTAGGAAGATGGAGAGAACTGATAGTCTTATAAGGTATGATGACTGGGAGATATAAGCTAGATTTAAGGCTGAGAGGAGGGGATCAGACAGGGGTAGAAGGGAGCTGGAGTTCTAGGTGAAATGCACCGCTGTTTAAGTTTATTACTTCGTCAATCTTTTTCTCTCTCTTCTTTTTTCATTAGCACATGCATTCGTGATTTCTCTTGCTTTGGTTTTTAAAATTCACACTTGTGTTGATCACTCCTGTTGGTATTGGTGTTGTTTTACGTAAGTTTTCTATAGTGTGTAAAATGGGGGTTTGTCAACTGACAACCACTATATCCCTTTGCTATTCACTCAGCGCATGAGCTGTATGAAATTATTCTATTAGTGATTGATAAATATGGTGGTAAAGACACACCTGGCAATATGGCGGTAAACACACGCCTGCCAACACACGCTCTGGCACAGAGCTCTCCTTCTCACCACCACAACCACCATCAGTTCGCGCCTGGCGCCTAGTCGATGCATGGTTTGCGGTATCCGACATAGCAGGCTGGTACATCAAGTAGCGCATGGCACATAGAAGATGACACAGCAACAGCATTGCTCGATTGCGACGTACTTTCCGTCCCTGCTGGACTCATCAGGCAATCTTCTTCTTGGATGTCTTCATACGGAGCTTGACTCGGGAGAATACAGTTGAAGACACCACTGCAGCTGTACTTATGCTTTAACCACCATATTTATCAACCATAAGTACAGCTGCAGTGGTGTCTTCAACTTCATTCATTAGTGATGTCGAACAAATTATTGACGTTTCGGGCCAGTCACTCATCGTCAGAAAATGGTTCTGATGATGGGTGAGGGCCCGCAACGTCAATACGTTTTTCGACATCATGTATATAATAATTTTCATCCAGCGCATACGCCGAGGGAAAAGCACTAGAGCAGAAGTCAGTTGACTAACCCCCTTTTACTGACAATG